AAGTCTGATACATTTCCAATTGCTTTTTCCCGACCCTTGGAAAATTCTTTGTCGTGGGAAACTGCGCAAGTATGGCGAAAGGTTCGCATTGTGGACGCGAAAGACGACGGGGCCAAACCCCACCCCACTCCACTCTTCTTGCTGGAAGCACGCGCTGGACACTCCAGCTGCAGATGCACTCATAGCATGCCCACAAGTGCAGGTATGTGAGGTGAGGGTATGTGAGGTGAGGTGGTTGGTTCTACAGCTGTAAGTGCGCATACAACACGGTCGGTGACTCCAGCGTGCGGTTCCAATTTTCTTTTCTAAAGCCTGGAAAAAGCATGTTTTTCAGAGAGCAGTGGCCTAATGGATAAGGCACCAGGCTCATAAGCAGAAGCTCGTGGGCTCGAGTCCCACAGGCGCTGCTTGTTTCCAGGCCGGATTCCAAACTGCAAGTCTGATACATTTACATTTTGCTTTTTCCCGAATTGGAAGTCTGAACCATTGGAAGTCTGAACCATTTTGCTTTTTCCCGCTTTTTCCCGGCTTGGAAAAAAGCAAATTGGAAGTCTGAACCATAAGCAAATTCGAAGTCTGAACCATTTTGCTTTTTCCCGGCCCCGGAAAAAGCAAATTCGAAGTCTGAACCATTTTGCTTTTTCCCGGCCCGGGAAAAAGCAAATTGGAAGTCTGAGCAAACTGGCCTGACTGAGCCGTCTCTTGTTCATGGAGGGTTGTGCCCAACCAAAAACACACCAACATGAAAACTGCTTGGTTGGCTGGCTTCCTGTTCCTCAGCAATCAATGTGTCAGTGATCAGAGGACACAAGACGTGCCAGGGCAACTGCATGAATCCTTGAAAGCCTCTAGCCCCAACGAAAAACCATTTTCGCCGACAGTGGTAAAACCCCACGCGCGAAAGCTTGCGAAAGCTTCGCGAAGGTCCTGCGAAAGGCCTGGAAAAAATGAAAGGACTTTTGAACAACCCCCATATATTTATATTGAGCATCCCCGCGCTGAAAAGCCAATCACCCAGCGTTGTTTTTGTGTCCAGGTCCTTTTTTCTGTGAAGTGTTTGAGGGTCAAATGCTTTGCAGGCCAGTCACTTGCAAACTCGTTTGCTGGTTGTGTTTTGAGTGACCTGCTTATGTTTAAATAAGCGGGAGGAGGTGCGGGGGAGGGCGCAGTTGGTATGACTGGGATGTAGCCCCTTAGCACTATATAGTCGGTAACAAATTACATAAAGTTACCCTTTTTGTGTGAGTTTGGGAAAGGCCTTTACAGGCCCTGGCAATGGGATATACCCGATATACCCCAGGTATGCTCCAATCAATGATGACCTTCCAGTTCACTGACGTAGGTCGTCTCCGTTCGGCGTCGAACGGTCCGCGTCGAGGCCCCGGAGCTGCAACAGGTCGCGTGGCCGCGGGACACGCGGCTGCGGCAGCTGCCGGTGCGGCCGAGACGGACTGGAAAAGGATCGCGGACGTCGTGAGAAACCAGCTTTGTATACCAGCACCACCCAGACCTGGTTGGTTAGACCATGTTAGACCCCACTGGAGATGTATGTTCCATCTAATAACTACCCCTTGGGTGGTGCTGGTAAAGGATCTTCTAGCTCTGGACTGGGGATGGCGGAAAGATACTTCCGGAGCTGCAAGAGCTGGGGGTTGTTGTCGACCCGGAAGGCTGATGGCCTTTTCCTCGGGCCGACTGGAGCCCCAAAACTTTGGGTTCTGTTCTTAAGGCCAGTTTCTTGGACTGAAGTGATGCATGGGATCTTCCAGAACACTCAGAGTATTCGCCGTCCGAATCCGCAAGATCTTTTCTTATCAGACTTCTGACTACAGCAAATCCAAGGTTTGTCAGACTGGCTATCCATAACTCACAGGCACAGTCCATGCCTCTTTTTTTCGAGCAAGGGCATGATTCTTTTTTAGAAGACGGGCCGCTTCCGTGAAAAGGATTCTTGGACAACTCCCAAGTGCAGTGCAGCGTATCACCGACAACTGTCGATGCTCACTTGACCAACTCGTACATACCTACTACTCTGGTGTTCGTGGACAACTCGTTCAACTATATAGTGACGGTGAACGATTCATCATGAACAGCTAGGAGGGATTCACCATTAAAAGAAACACACATACACAAAGAGTACAAGTACATCAATAGAGATATGATCCCAAAGAACACCAGGCTTTCCGTCGAGCACCATCCGCTCCTCGATCGAGCACCATCCTCTCCGGTCGGAAGGCAGGGATCCCACGGTGCCGGCCCGACATCTGGGCTGTCGGGGGGGCTGAGGGCAACACCCCGGAGGGAGAGAGGTTTCGGGTCGTTCAGGTGGTTCTGCCAAGTCCAGTTAAGGAAGAAACACAGGTTTTTCTACCAAAGAATTGGTCAACTTGGTCTGTATTTTTCTATTAAAGTTAGACTAAAGGTGAGAGGTTCGGGTGTTGGCTGTCAAGGTCCGGCTGATTGGCATTTGAGAAATCCTCATGTGGAGCTTCATCGGAATCTCCGCGCAGCAACCAGTCCGTTCCTAAACAGTTCGCCATGCATTTGCTGGATCCAAAAAGCCGAAGACCTCCTCAGTGGACATCTGTGGTGCAGACAGCAATCTGAAAGTCTGCTGAAAATCCGTGCGACTTCTTTTCATGCAGAGTTCCGTGTGGGAGTCATGGATCAACACATGGACCAAAGAAGCTACGAACGGGGCTCCTGGCCTCGCTACGAACGGAACAAGGACGCTTCGAACGCGGCTCCTGGCCCTACGAACGGAGCAAAGAAGCTAATAGAAACACGATCAAGAAGAAACTAGATCACTGGAATCATATCCAACAACCCTAAAGAAGATTAGTACACTACCGGGTCAATAAACTAGGTCACACGATGAAGCAACCGAAGAGACCGGAGGGCCCTTCTGACCGCCTGAGAGGTCCGGTACGTCTCCAGGTGAAACCGTTGGCCGTTCTGGGCAGCGACTTTCAAGAGGTCCTCTTGTTGGACGCTGAAGCTGGGCGGAAAGGGCGGCAGACCGGTTCATCTGAGGTGTGGTGGACATTGGAGTTCAATCGGCCTGAAGGCACATGGCACATGGTGAAACTGTTCAGGGGCTCGATTTCATGGGCAGATTTCTAATCTGTCTTTTTTGTGAGTCTATTTCACTTGTAGCCAGTGAGGCGACAAGTGACTGCACCCGTGAGGTAACAGCTATAACACCTGGTTGATTGCACCATATCCTGATGATATCCTACACAAATCCATGAGTGAATCGTCAGAAATCAAATGAGCGTCTCCCCCTGCCGGTGGGCGAAGTTGGATCCACCACTCCACACAGCATCTGCTGGATGTGAACCTTGGGAAAGGGCCATTCCCTAGGGATCCAGTCGTACCTTGTCAGGTTAGGTGAGGATGTTTGACACTGTTATGTAGGTGCCAGGAGGGTCCAGTCGTACCTTCTGAGAAGGCACTTGGATCTCTAGGACTCTAGGGATTGGATCCGTATAGATGGGGGTTTAAGATCCACAATCTGCCGTGGCTTTTTTTCGACTAGGGCACCAAGTGATGTTAAGATCTGTGCCAACCTTGGATTCTATTTGGGGGGTGTAGGGCCATACTTCTCGCGGCTACAGTCTATAACGGACAAATTTCACACCTCGCTTGAATGGGTCAACCCTCACACCACGGGGCCGACTGTGGTGGGGTCGAGAGGGAGTTGCGCCGAGGACAACCTCCCTGCAGTGGATCCCAGCTTTCTCTTCGACGAGCCACGCGGACCGCAGTGGATTGGAATGAGGAAAGAGGTGAAAAGTGCCGCCTCTCATGATTTGACGAGTGACCTCTATGATTGATGAGATGAGAGGCAATGGGGAGGGTCTATGACACTATGAGTTCAGTGACCTCACAACAATCAAGTGCAAGGTCCCTGCTTGAAAAAGGGCATCGGGACACGACAGCAGACCGTGGATGTTTTTGCGACTTCCTTCGGTGCGCTAGGAACCGACCATATTTTGTTTCGTTCCCCAATGGATCCAGAACATGAGAGGAAAGGGCCACGTGTTGGTTGCTGGCCCCAAAATGCTGTCACAAACGTCAACAAGCGTCGTTCTTCCGCTTGACAGTCTTATGAGAGGCTGACAAAACCAGACCAAGGGGTGCCAACGTGTGCAACGCGTGTCCTCCTGAAAAAGGTGCGTCCTCACAGGCAGATTCTCGGACCAAATTCCTCCCAACTGGGATGGTTTTTGACCAGGATGTCCAGAGTCCAAAGTGTAGGGGAGTCGTTCTTTGAACGGTCATGGACCGTCTTTTATTAGCTAATTACTGACCCTCTTTCTTTTGTTGATGATCTATCTTCTCTCAAACAGCCTAAAGGTATAGCCATCCCTCCACCCATCTCCACCCCTCCCTCCGTGCACTCCAACCACCACACACCTCCTTCTTTTCGCCCACACCACACGACCGACCCCACCGTCCCCACCGTGCCCATCGTGTCCGGAGCACCTCCGTGTCCCCACCGAGGCCGCAGTACCGCGCCACGGGCGCGCTCTTTTGGCCCGACCTGTCGCCCTTCGAGGAGACCGGAGCCACGACCGGCGTTTGAGACCGGGGTGAGAAGAAGCAGACGGTAGCAGACGTGAGAGATGGAAACGAGGGGGTCGGTGGGTTGAAAGATGATGCCCATTACTCCGGTGGACTCCAATGGTTGGAGGATGACGGAGCTGGGCCAGCTGGATGCAAGCTGCTCCGTTAGGCAATGGCGTGGTGGTAGTAGAGGTGGTCCTGATCTGCATAAGAGTGTTCTGAACACCAAGTGGTGAAAAGGAGGGGTCTCAGGTGGTGTTGAGTAGGAAAGTGCCAAAGTACCGCCCACACCGCGCATTGGAACCTTCCACAGGGGGGCTTTCAAGCCCCCCCCACACGCGCTTGGATCATTCGGAGGGCACCACACAAAGGAGCGATGCCATCTCGGGGTGTTCTTTGCCCACGGGTGAATTGGCACTCCCTTTGGGCAGACCAAAGCAGCTTTACTTGCTTTGAACAAAGGAAGGCGTAAGAAATAGACCACCTGCGTGGTCGATTTATTCGCCTTTTCCAGGGGAGCCCATGTTCAAGCCAGCAACAAAGAACCCCTCAATCAACTTATGCATTCACCCGCACACTCACTCAGGCACTCAGAATCATTTTGGTGGACAGACGCTTTTGCTGCACCTGGTGAAAACTCGGTCGAAGCACCCTAGACATTGCATACAACTGCCCAAGCTCCCCTCTTGAAAGTCTATGTAAGGTGCCGCATTATGCCGCATTTGCTCCCTTCTCATCCTTCTCGATCAACCACTTGGTCCAAACCACGGCCAGTATACTATGCAGTGAATTTGTTGAGTCTGTCGCAGCAGGCTATACCGTGTGTTTGCAGGTTCACCGAACTCTTTTGCGTGACAACAACGAACCACATGGAACCACGACTGGACGCTAAAGACAACACCCTCAGAGCCCAAACGGCTCAAGTCCCCAGGAGAATTGGGGCGAACCCTTCTGTTTTACCACAAGTTTTGGAGTGGCAGCCGTTCCATTCCTGGAGTTCAGTACTTCGACTTCTGCCGAGACCGAGCTCGGTCGGATTGCCCACACGTTCAACGCTTCTGCCGTCTCGGACTTTCAGAGCCGCGGCCGCGGCACCAGGAGAAGATGCCAGAGCAGTGGCTAGCATTGAGTTGCGGCCTGAAGGAAAGAGACGGAATCAATCCCTGTCCTGCGGTGTCCTGGGCTGGGCATTCTCTTCTCGTACCTCAAACACACGAGAGCGACCAAAAAACGCGGCCCCCTTCCGCATGCAAACACCATCTTTCAGCCTGTGGAAAAGGAAAGAACTTCATGACGGTGGTTTGTCAACGTTTCAAACTATATATATATATAGTGCTGCGGCCTTGGTCAGACGATTCACATGTGTGGTTCTTACCCACTGGTTGACGATGTTTGATTGAAGGGCTTGTCATCGGTGCTTGTGGTCTCGTTGCCCCACGACGGTGTCACTGAGGTGCAGGTCACTGGCTCTCTCGCCCCTGCAACCTCAGGTGCATGACGGTCTGACGGTCCTTACACATGCGGGCAAGTGTATGGAAGCGGCTCAGGGCGACAAGCAGGGTGCTTTGAGATTTGCCAGAGTGCAAATCAAACGGATGGGAATTGTGCAACCTGGTGGTTTTGCTGCGCAAATCTGGGTCATGCCCTGTTGCTGGTTCAAGGGTAGTAAACTGGCTCAAAGTGACTATGGTCCCTTCCGTTGTTTTAGGATGATGTTCTTTTTAATCCGACACAAATTGATCCTGAGGTAGTTGGAATGGAAGATCTCCAAGGATTAGCCACAAATCATGTGTTTTCAACAAGTTGGTGGGTTCCATCGAATATAGCTGGTGTTATTTTCAACTTGCAACATGACCTGCAGACTCCAAGTGAATCAAAAAACCGCCCGCTTTGCGGCTAAGAATCATCAAGCATGACGTCCAGCCTCAGTACGGGTGGGAGTGGGGAAAGATGCAATCTCACAAGAACCCCGCTGGTAGGCAAGGTGTTCTCATTCGAACCTGCTCCGACTAGCCCTCTTTGATGCAGCCAGGTGGGAACAAGAAAGTGGACAGCTGTTTGCCTCCTCAGTTTCAGAGCTTTGCAAGCTGTTTTGTCACATCATAGTTACCTGTGTCCAAGATGTTGAAGCTCAGAGATGACGAACATGTCGTCACAGCTCTTCACACCGCTTTTGCACTTGTCCATTTCCGACGAGGGCCTTACAGAGAAAATCCAGGCTGCCCTCATATGTGGCACGATCCAAGAATCACCGTTCAGACCTGGTGCAAAAGCATTGCAGACAGTATATGTTCTTATTTGAAGATATCAATATCAATTGCATAAATTAACATGTACGAAAAATGGGTTCCACCGACGAAGGGCAGGGGTTAGAGGGTTAGACCCTCAAAACGCCCAGTCCTTCGGCACGGAATTGGAAGTTTGTCCTTCGAGGCTCGTGGACAAGGACAGATGTGCGGCGCCAATCCGTCGCGCAGCTTGGACACACGCAAGACTTGTTTTGTTGGGGATATCGAATCAGATGGTGTTGTTTGTTGTTCTTTTTTTGCACCGTTTCTCCTATCAAGAGGCGGTTCACATTCTATTTTGATTATCTTTGAGTTTGAATGAAGAACATGTTGCTCACTGAGAACATCGGGTATGCTGCTTCAATAATCATATGGTCATACGGAAAACAGTACTTAGTACTTGGATCTTGCATTCTTTCCTTGGACAAGAGCATTAATCCTGCTTCAAGTCTTGGCCAATGGGTTTCGTTCAAACCAAGAGGTGAACCAGTTTGATATATGTTTCAACACATCCGCGGTCCAAATCTCGGATCGGAGCGGACATGAACGAAGTGCCGCGGTCGACCAGTCTTCTGGACCGGACGCTCAGCTCGGAGCTCGATTGCTTCATCCGCTGACCGCTTCCTGCGGAGCTCGAAGTCGGAAACTGCCAAGGTAGCCATGCCTGGTATGAAGAGAATGAATGACCAAGTTGTAGATGGATCTTTCAAACGTCCAAGAGTACCCCAAAGCGATCCATAGCAAGCGCGGGAACATTGACGCAGGTTCCTCTCTTCTCGCCCACTTCTCTGTCCAAGCCCGCAGAGCCCGCAGCCCGTAGATGGCAACGAGCGTGTGTTCTCCTGAGGCAGCCAGCATGGCCCTGCACTTGAGGCCGAGCTCCAAGACGAGAACCGAGACCAAGCCACCCCAGTCCCGGCGGTCCCCAGTCCCAGTGGTCCAAACCGTTCGGTCCGAGTTCGCGACCGAATGGGACCGAACGATGGTTCTACAGCACTCGCGGTCATCGCCTGTGACTGAAGAAGATGTGTTCTGTCATACTCTGCAGATTTTGGAGGTGGAAGCAGGTATTTTGAGACATTGGTCCGTCTAAAGCAGGTGAGGTGGTCATATGTGGCTACATCATCTAAAATCTCCAGATTTGCCCCGTTTGTATGAACCTTGAACCACTCTTTGTTCACTGGAACGGAGTTTCTTCAGATCAACTTCTAGGAGGTTCTAGACTTCAGGCTGACAACAGTCCTTCAAAGCCGCAACTAAATGCCTTCGGAGCTTCCACAACTCATTTCAATCAGGTTCTAACACAACAGCATGGAAAATAGCACGACATCCGTCATCAGGTGTCATCAGGTGATCATCACTGTGACCACTCCCAGCGTTTCCACTCCAAAAAAACACACCCACACCGAGTCATCATGCACCTTCGCTGGGCAAACACACGGGGGGTGACCCTGCACGGGGGTGAGACGTGGTGACCCTGCAACGGCGTGCTGTGTGCTGTGTGGTCGGTCGTGGTCGGTCCCGCGCGGCCAGGGAGTTGTCGGCCTATTTGCCGGGCGATGGCGGTGACAAGGAGTGGCCGACCCGCACTGGTTTGGAGTGGCCGATGAGCTGAGCCCGGGATCGGCCGGAGGCCCGCCAGGTCGCAGGTTTTTTGGTGAAGAGTTGCTCTTAGGCGTTGAAGCGGGTGCAACATGTTTGGGCATGTGTGACATTTGGGTGCATGTCCAAGGTTGTGAGATTGGGTTCAATGTGTGTCATGGGCCATGAATTTCTCGAGACAACCGAAGTAAAGGCATGATATATGTGTTTGTGTTGTTCCCAGACCATGCACCAAAACGACGAGTGTCGGCACGACATGTGCGGTGACATGTGAGGGTCCGACGGTCCACGATTCGAGAAGTCAACAAACACGTCAACGACCAGGCCCGTCCCGATCGTTTTGAGGACCTCTTCCAGATCGCGTGGAGACTGGAAGGCCATGACTTCGGCATGCACCTTGGCCGGTCGTGGTGGGGGGGCAGGTCCTCTCCTGCAGAGGGCCACATGGAACCTCCAAAAAGCATTGGGTTGCGTGGGTTGTAGAGGGCAACAGTTGAAACCACGGGTCAATTCTCAGACAATATTGAATCACAAGCAGGTCACCTGGAAGTTGAATACGGTTTGAATTGTTGGTCATTGTACTCATGATCTGGGTGTCATTCAAGGTATAGATTTTCCCAAACTGAGTGCGCCGTGCTGAGAGCAGTGTCCAGGTGCAGTGCAGTGTTCGGTGCGGGACACGCCAGTCTCTGCGACGAGGTGTCCGCTACCTGCAGCCGCTGGGCGTTTGCAGCCCGAATGCTCCGGCACGGTGCATGGGCCTTTTGTAGGCCGATTGCTGCGATGTCGTCTCGGGCGGACGAGGAGCGTGTTTTTCGGGGTGTGGCATAATGGTTGAAGGAAGTGGGAAAAGCAGCGGTTTGTGCAGGCAGTAGCTGCCATTTGCAGGGGTTTGATTTTGTTTTGCTTTGATTTTGGACATCAAAGAACTTCTTCGACTCATGCGGAGGATGGTCATACACCAAGTTGACATGTTCTTGGGATCAATTTCGGATCAGTTATCATTGTAATTCTGTGATCACATGACTTGTGTCAGTTCTTTTAGCCGTAGGGGCCCCTTCTAAAGGCATCACCATCATCACTCTTCTTAGGCATTACCCAGTTGCCCAAACGCTCCGCCTTCCTGGCTCCACGAGACCCAACTCAACTCCCCCCCGGCCCGTCCCGAAGGGACGTGACCCGAGACCCGCTCTCGCCGGCGAGACCCGCGTCCGAGTCGTCGGAGAGGCGAGACCATGGTGCATCATTCCTCCAAGGGTTTGCCTTGCTTTTTGCACCGGACCATCGACAAGCACGAGGACAGAACCGAGTGGGACAGGTGGGACGGGTCAAAACATCCATGCCCCTCGGGGCGTGAGGTTGTTCGATGATCTAATCGCAATGCAATACAACTCATCGATGTGTCTCTTAGAAAGAAATTTGGAGCCAGGTCCGGAGAAATGCGAGGAACTACTTCCACAAGCACCACCGCCCTGATACTGATAGTTCCACTTCTGCCATGATACTTGGCGCTCCACTTCGATGCCCTCTTCAAACCAATCGGATGGCCAGCCGGTGCCTCCGTGCACGAATTTCCTGTGGTCAGGACATGTGGGAGTTGCACTGGGAGGTCATTGCTCGACCCCTGAAGGCAGGAGCCGTTTCCCATCTGTCGCGACGTCAGTCCGAACTTGGAAGAACGAACCATTCATTTGATGAACACTCCGACTCTTCACAACTGTTGTTTGCTCAACCTGCTAAATCCTGCATGTAAAATCACAGCAGGCTGTGTTCTTTTTTTGGTCCGTTCGCCCATGGTGAAACGACGTGCCACAAAACATGGTGGCCATTTTTTTGCGAATCTTCAGATCATTTTCATGATTGACCTGCATAGAATGCATTTTCATTTTTTTGCAGAAGATACAGGTTACTCAAGATGACAATGCATGATTGATCTGTCGTCAGAAAGAAATCGGTGATTGGTGTGACTGAGAGAATTTGTCTTGACACATGCGGAGAGAACGTTGATTTTGAACCCCACGTCATGCAATGTTTTGAAATGTTTTCGCTGGTTTTGCTTGGGCAGAGCATGTCGTAGAGGCCGTCAAACCAAGGGCCATGTTCAATTCAACTCTGCAGCTGTTGGTCAAGTTACATCCTCAATGCCATGTTATCGGTACCATTTCAAGTCACTCTTTGCATGTTAAAACAAACAACATACATTGGGTATCATTGGGTTTCTCTCTTCACTCTCAATGCCCCGCCCTCCTGTCGAGTTTGGGTGCTCACGGTGATTCACCCGCCTTGAATTGGACAGCCGGACGGGGGCTTTTGCCAAGGTCAAAAACATGGCGACGAAATAGGAAAAACGACACTTCAGATACTCTGCTTTGCTTAGCGATATTTTTGTAACTGTTTGAGATATTTGATTTCATGTTAGATTAAACCGCTGGGTTCCACCTCTCGCAACACAACCGTACACGCACACGCCGTAGCGCTAACACTTGGGCGCTCGCATCCCGCCTGTGGGCCTACAGCTGGCGCCCATGGGTCATCTTCGGCCGAGTGACGGCTGCTCCGGCCCTGTTTTTTGACACTGTTGTCAGACTTCTTCTCTTGGCTGCTTCGGCCAATGACGTCAGACTTCT